CCCACCCTCGGGGAGGAATTTTTTAAAGGACTCCTCTACCCTGGAAAATTCCATTTTTCTCCCATATAAACTCTAATTTTGTTCTTTCTCTGATCCCCCACTCCTCAGACATAGATAATTTCTGGAACTTATACACATTAACAGAAGCCAAAAGCATGGTCTGGAGGTTTTGGAGGATGCAAAAAAAAAAAAAAAAAAAACTGTCCTCTTTTCACAAGGGTAGCACTTAATAGCCAGTGGCTAACAAACCTGTGGCCCTCATTCCATGATCGAATTGGAATTTAGGAGTTGATTTTTTTTGGAGGGAGGAAAACTGGAGAACCCGGAAAACCCTCGAAGCACAGGAGAGAACCAACAAACAACTCTACTCACATACGACCCCGAACCTGGCGGGACTCGAGCTCGGGTCGCATTGATGAGAGGCGAGCGCTCACACAGCTACAGTACGCCACCCGTGCTTCCCATATATAAAAAGCATACTCTTAACACTTCTCCCGTAAAGATGTTCTCAGGATATACTTACCCCTGTCAGCCTTGTAAGGGTTTCCATCAAAGAAGCTCTTTGGATGTAAGTTGAGCTTAAATGCCCCTCCTTTTCTCTGTTTTACACTTCTTTCCATATCAGCCTAGTTATTGGAAAATTATGGCAATATATAATTTAAGAACAGTAATTCAAAGTTTTCCAAACTATTTAAAAAAAATATTGTTGGTTCTCCTTGTTGTTGGTGTTGCTGTTTGCTGCTGATGCTGTTGTTATTGTTGGTGCTGTGTTGCTGTTGTTGTTGTCGCTACTATTGTTGTTGCTACTGTTGTTGCTACTCGTTGTTCCTGTTGCTGCTGTTGTAATTCTAGTGCTGTTATTGTTGCTAATGTKGTAACTGCTGCTGCTGCTGATTTTGGTTTTGACTGTTGTTGTCATCACTAGTGCTGTTGTTGTCATTGCTGCTGTTATTGTTGCTGCTGTTGTAACTGCTGCTGCTGCTGATTTTGGTTTTGACTGTTGTTGTCATCACTAGTGCTGTTGTTGTCATTGCTGCTGTTATTGTTGCTGCTGTTGTAACTGCTGCTGCTGTTGTTTCTGTTACCGTATCATAGTATATAAATTGTAATAAACATATAAGGTTATAAAGTCTACATAAACAAACCTTCCTATTCTCCTTGGCTCGGTCATATCCATCTGACATGTATTTATGTGGGTTGCCGATTGTCACATGTAAATAACCATAACCTGTGCCCTTCTTTGGTGGGTTGGTCAAGAAGTTCCTGCCACTCGACACGTGTGGCTTTTTTCCTTTGGAAACAGGACTGAAGGCTGAGACAGGGCCAGCGAATGTCCCATAATGGTTCCCAGCACCAGACCTGAAAATTTTTTGAAATCGGATGCAATTAGTATAATATTATTATATGATCGTATATTGTTTTGTCCCTATACACTTAGCCTGTGTACGGCTGTTTTCCATCCCTCCCCCTACAGAGGAAAAACAGTCTGTGTGTAAAGTTTTGTAATCATGTTGCAAGGTCATGTGAGGCCCTCAAGATTTTCAGTAATAATCTGATTATTTTTTTGCTATTGCTTCCGACCTTGCATTTCTTAATCGCTTGGTAAAATGTTGTGTCATGAAACAAGCAATTTCCTTCTGCTTTAGGGAAATTTTAAAGAACAACTTGAAGAGCTTTYATTTGTTATGGAAACAAGCTTGATATTTCAAAGATTTCAGAGACTAGTTCACAGTGTAAGTCTGCCATGGGTAAATTCAGTTTTAATGAGATACATGTATTGTAATATACACTCAATTGAAGAATCGCTGTCAGGTTCGGAAACATAGAACATAGAAGATGAGACCGAAATGGCACATGGGAAGTACGTTGATTAAATGCATGCTGTGACTGGCAACCCGTGGCATCATCCACTGTTTTTAATATGCATTTGGCATTCTAAACCAACTGCATGGATGGCGCAAATGAATAAATTATAATATAATTATGTCGTTTTCCACGTGCCATTTTGGTCTCAGCTTTTATGATCTATGTTTCTGAACCAGACAATGATTCTTCAATTGAGTGTATACATACGATTAAGAAACATGTCACCCAGATGCTCCCTCCCCATTTTTCTCCATAGGGATTCGGGGTTCGGCAGAAGCAGCTCTACACAGGCTACAGTTTCCAGGCTACTAATACACTGCACAGTATTCATATTTACGGTAATTTAGTAGTACTGTTTGGCACAAATGCTTTTCCAATGTTAAGCTTAGCAGCTTTAAGTCGGTCTTGTCTTCTCTTTTTCACAGGATCACTATATGCCTCGCCTTCAAGGACACGGTTAAACTTTTGATCAAAGTATCCATCTTGTCGTGCACATCGAACCTTGCTTCCGCCTGGGAGTACTTGTTTTCCTTTGTGAGCCGAAGTATTAAAGCCTAAAAAAATTTTTTCAAAACTCAGTTTTTGTCCTTATTTATTTCTACAGTCCTTCCTTCTTTATTAGATCTATTGTTCTGTCTGTCTAGCTTCTCGCAACTTTGTTTTTTTCATTGGAGTGAAGACATTTTAAGCTAGTGAACTAAAAGTGTACTAAAAATCAATAGACACAAAAGAAAGCAATGAAATAGGTTTTACAAAATTCAGTAAATAGTCTAATATGTCAGTTCATGGGTTTAGTAAATCCGTAAATCTGTAAAATTTAAATCTCCTTTCATTTTAGGAATTCTTTGATTAATCTCTCTACCATAAAGGAATGGTTTGGAATTAGAGAAAATCCTTTTTAAGGTAACATATTGCAATGTCGACTTGCCTAATCACTTGACTAAAGCTGAGGCAATTCGTTGGGACTCTTTTTAAAGAATTAAGATTCTATGTGCAGTTCAAAATTTTGAGGTTCCCATTATTCTTTTAACAAGTTTAAGATTAAAAATAGAGAAAGGATAATCAAAATAATCATTAAATTTCTTAAAAGTGGAATGAAAGCCTTTGAGAGCGTTCAGGATGAATCAGCTGGTTTACTGCGCGAAGCTAAACTACACAAGTTAGCCCACGTGTATAACACAAAACATTAGTCAACAATCGTGCTTTTTATCAGCTGTTTCTTGAGAAAAATATCTCAGTTGTACTAATAAAAGCTCCCTACTTACTTGAAACGTTAGTTTTGTAGGGATCGCCTATAGATATGTACCCTAATTCACTGAACAATCCAACACGATTCAAATCATTTTTGATCTCAGTAATCCCTTTAGCCATCTTTTTCCGCACTCCTTTTAGGTTTCCTTCTAAGATTACGGCAATAAAACTATATAAAATCCAAGATTATGTCCCACTGAAGGGACAAGGGTACCCAAGTTTGTATCTTTTTCCTCCGATTTAGATAACCTTTAGATTTTTATGATCTTTGCTGTCTTCAAATCGTAAACAAATGACTTCCCAACAAAAAATGTCTAGGAAAACACACGCTTGTCGTCATGGTAACAGCTGGCTTTCGTTTTCGCGGGCTTCGTCACAGGAAGCCCAAACAGTATTTTCTTTATTTTCGTGTGTACRCTATTTTAAAACAGTATTGAAAATAGCTGTAAATAATTCAGAATATAAATAACTTCGCATTAATGTTACTAACCTTACTAATTTTTTAAATCGTATTTTCTTTTATAAACTATAGTAAATAAAGTATGAATAAATTAACAATTATTTTTTACATCTAAATTGATTATTACAAAACTGATATGTATAACCTTATCTCTTATTATTATGATTTTTAGATAAATTCTCTATCTTATATTCTACATTGGAATCAAAAAATATATATATTAAGGAAAAATAAAAAATAAAAAAATGATTAGAAAAAGACAAACTTAGGTTGGGATACCTGTGGTGGTGGCCTCGGTTTTGTGTGGACAGGAATCAAGATGGTGGACGGATATTAATAACAAACTACGAGTGGAAGTGTCTCTTTATTTAATCGAATATTCCTATAACTAGACCTTCCCAGGGGACAATTATCCCTGTATATCGTGCATCCAGAACCAAAGAAGCTATGGGTGTTTAGTTTTCAGCGTTAAAGGTTGAATTTAAGGGTGAGAAATATGGCTGAACGCGAAGAAGACGAACGAAAAGACAACAAGAAGAAGGAGAAGGATAAAGAAAAAGGATACGTTGCTTTTCATTCGGATGATAGCGACGCTATCGAAGAAGATATTGAAGAAACTAGGTAACGTTGTTGTCATTTAATATTCATTTTGTCTATATTTTCAATTTTTATTATTATTTATTTTCATTTATTATTTCACTTATTAGTTTTCTTATGCTCACGAATTATTGTCAACGTGACTCGTGCAGACCGACTCGCTATTAGTATTAATGTATTCAGCTTTATTAAAGCTTCACAACCATTTATGTCGAACCCAGCTGCTTATTTTTACATTCCGACAACGACACGTAACAGAAAACAAAGGCTTTAAGCTCGCTTCCTCTTGCCTGACACTTGTGGCTGATTTGAAAGAGAGAAACACATGGACTTTTAGATATGGAGGAGAATCACGTTCCTCGTCAAATTCAATGCTTTCCGCCCTTAAAAAAGGAACTTATCTTTCATGTTTCGCATTTCAACAGGTAGTTTTAGATTTATTTCTAAATCAACACAACTTCTATGTCTCTAAAGTACATTTTTCTGATAATTTTGAAGGGGATCTATTGTCCTACTTTCGTTCAATGGAAATGCTCTCTTTATTTCAGCAAACAGAAAGGTAAAAAAGTGAAAAGAGAAAAATCCAGGACTCTGGGGCTACCTCGCATCAAAGCCAAGAAAAACCAAAAGAAGAAAGAGAAAGAAAAAGAGAAAGAGAAAGAAAAGGAAAAGAAGTCTAAGAAAAAATCTGAGTCTCTTTCACCAACCCATCCCCCAAGTAAGCAAAATTTAAATTCCACTTACTTTGCTAAATGTTATATTGTGTTTCCTACTTTCAAGCATGTTTATACTAGTAGTAAAAGTGTTGATCAAAATATTCTTTTTGGAAGAGTTTTGAGTGTTTTTTAGGGGGGAGGGGGGTACATTTTCTCTCATATTCAACAGGTTTTTAAAATATTCATTTTAAGCATTGCTAGCAGTGTTAGTATTGCTTATTGTCTAAAAAGTTATAAAAATAGGAGTGAAAGCACATTCAAAAATACTATTTTTCAAAGATTTTAAAGTAATTTTTGGTGGTACTAATCTTCTCTTGTTCAACAGGTTTTAAATTATGTATTCAAGCAATAGTATTCATTTTAGTATAGCTTATTGTGTGTGAGTTTGACTTGTAGTACAGTGTATTCCAAAATATTCTCTTTGGAAGAGTTTTGAAGTGTTTTTTTGTGTGGTACTTTTCTCTCATGTTCAACAGGTTTTAAATTATGTATTCAAGCAATAGTATTCATGCATTTTAGCTTATTGTGTGNAAGTGTTTTTTTGTGTGGTACTTTTCTCTCATGTTCAACAGGTTTTAAATTATGTATTCAAGCAATAGTATTCATGCATTTTAGCTTATTGTGTGTGAGTTTGACTTGTAGTACAGTGT